CAACCTCAGTGCAACAAATGCTGCAATGACTGTGCAGGCAAATTTCAAAAACATTAAAAAATTGCTCAATGTACAACTAATATTCGTCAAACTTGAGCAAAAAAATAAGGAATAGTAGTATCAGATTGTTTCCTAAGAAAAAGTAAAAGAATATACTGGATCCAATTTCAGATTAACTGTTCTAAATAAGAAAAAGTTCACTCAGTTTCATAACAGCTACAAATTTAATGCAATAGCAATATAAAGATTTGTATTTATAACAAATGCAATCATTCATTAATTTTTTTAATTTATAATTGCTGATAACTCTTTTTTGCTTCCTTAATTATTAAAATGAGATAGAATGTGTAAGTTAAAATTTTTGGCAATAAAATGCGAAGAATAACAAATCGTGTCATATATTTTGAATGAAATATGATTTACATTTGAAAATTCTTAGTATGTAATAAAATTGAAATGCGCATTTAAATAACGTACAAGTATAACAGTCAGTTTTATGATTGTTATTACCATTATTGGTTGGAAAAAATTTTTTCTTCATGTCATTTACTGATTTATTTGCTATTAAATGCAAGCCAAAAATTAATAACGTGGATTTATGCAGTTCCAAAAGCTTTCTCTACCTCACGTCAAATTGATAAATGAGGTATTGAGTACTACTCTTACCAGTTTCCACTGAGTTTTAAACAGATATTTCTTGATTGTTTGAGCATTTTGCTCATCGTTGCTAAATTTTCTGAAAATCTCTTTGAAATTAAAAAAATTTGTTCATTTAAAGAACTCCTTTAAAGAACTATTTCAGCAGTTTCTATGCATTTTGTTCTCTTTTTTCATTATGTAAATTTTTAGTCAGTTTTTGCTTTCATAATTTACTTTGCATACCTTCAGAAGATAAATCTTAAAAATGTAAATATTTTAGCCCATCGATACTACTCAAATTATTGAACAACAATCGTTAGTGACATTGATGACCGAATAAAAGTAGGAATCAATTATAAAAAACTTTGTTTATCTGATGCACTGCGTTCTATAAAATGTAGTCATGAATATTACAAAAATACGACCTTCAGATTGAATATTCAGTGAAATGGAACCGATTTTCCCAACCGATTCCAACATTTTCATAATTTCTCCACAATGCTACTGAATATGCTTTTGCAACAGAATTTTAGAAGTTATTCAGAATTGCAGCTTAGTCACAATCTTTTCGTAACATGATAACTTTTCATGCTAAAAACGTTTAAGTTTTTTCAAACTTCATCAATTATTTCAATTTTATGTCTGATAGAATAACTATTACACTGCTTTTGAATTACTAAAAAGGAGAATAGGTAAAATTGTGCGTCTAGATATAAATATATTAGCAAATAAAATCATCATGCATATGATTATATATTTTTAAGCCCTTACTACGCTTTGCATTAAAATTACTAAAATATGTTTTGAATTTGACTTGCTTAATTTGTATTTGTGCTAGAAATTATATTTTATCATTAATGCAGAAGACATATTACATGATACGGTTTTATAAAATTTACTAGAAAGCTTACAACATAATTTTCGATCAGTTTCTTAAAAGCAGTATAGATTAAACTAAAAAATTCTACCAGAAATCGTAACAGAAGATAGAAAGACATAATAAATAACCATAAGGAGTAGAATGAAATTTGCGCAGAAAGTGCAGATTAATCCCTACCGTCATTAATTGAATATTTAAAGTTATATTATTAAATCTGAAAGCTGAGACAAACCTATATGTATTAAGGGTCATTTACATCTATTCCCACAATATGAATAATGAAATTAAAATCAATTACTCTTCTCATAAATACTTGATTTTAATTTCATTATTTATGTTTATAATATATAAGACAAAAGGTGTGAGAAATCTTGAAATGCTACAAGTAAGATTGTTACCAGTGCAATATTTATATCAATCAATTAATATCATCATTTCTATTTTCTCGTCTTTTTTAATTCTCTTATTGTGTTATTAAGAAAGTCATAACCATCAGTTTCCAGTCACGTTTAAGATAATGCATCAGTAGCGTCAAAAGGTAAATCAAGATCTTTTTCATTGAATTTTTTGGTTGATAAGTAATTTATGAGAATTAAGAGAGGCCATTAGGTCAAAAGTATTTTGTAAGGTCAGCAGATCTTCTGCTGTTAGGGCTGACGATGCCTCTCTTTGTTTATTGTGATTTATGATTATGACCATTGGTTTTCTTTTAAATCTGTAAGGCATTGTCAAGATGTTCTAATTAAAAATAACAAAATAATATGAATAATTCAGTAATATAATGTAGAAATAACTAGAATCGACTGCAATTAAGATTAAGAATTGTGAAGTTTTTAAAAAATTTTTGATTTGTGATGATAAGATTGAAAGATTACTGCTACTGACTACTTTAAAAAATTTTATCTTTAATATATTTTTGATATGATTTTCATTATTTACCATTATGATTTGGAACAGTAAAATAAAATTAGAGATTTTTCATAGTATTTATATTCTCTTAATTTTCAGCGTTTCATTGAATCAAAGCTTCACAGATAATTTAATAATTTAATAAAATTTAAAAATAAATAGATTAATGACATACTAAACAATATTTGTTTGGTCAGAAACTGTTTCTATTGTCATCCATTTTGCCAAAATATTCTAGACTTTTTTCATAGTGATAAATGTAACTGACTATTAAAGGCTAATAACCACTAAGTTTAATTTTCATATTTTAAAGACTGTTTTAAATTCTGCATCGCTGATTTTATTCAAATTTTCTAAATAAGTAAGTGTTTTGAGCTTTATTAAATTTTGAAGCTTTATTAGAATATATTAACTTCAATAATAATTTATTTACCTAAAAAAATTTGAAGCATTTATGATAGGATATGAAAAGAATAAGTAAGGTAACTTAATAGCATGAAAATATTGAAACAGCAAACATTTTAATGGCACAAAAACAATAATGTTGGTAGCAGTTATTATTAATAAAATACGATGTGGACAACGGCACTCACATTTTAACATACGGAAAATTTTTCATTTTACGATCTAGAAAATGCAGCTGCTAAGAAGTTTGTACAATATCTCACTAATCATGAAAGGAAAAATTTAAATGAATCTTGAATAATTTAATAAATGCTGCGACTTTAACTAATTGAAATTTATGAGCAAATGAATGGCCTTTAATATACGTCATCAGCCGCAAGCATTGATTATTTATGCAAAATTACTAAAAAATTTTAAGAGTTATTTTTTTTAAGTTTGAGTAGTTGCGAGTAATTATCATATGAAAAAATTTTTTAAGAAAAGCTTGTTAATAAATTTATTAAAGTCTTTCAACTGATGCAGAGAGGATTAACTAACAGATTGTTTTTTTTTTCAAGCTAATTCAATTTTTTTCTTCATTACAGCGTTTGCTAAAAGTTTTAGAATTCATTGAAATTTAATTGTCATTTCAGTCACGCATAAAATCCAATATATAAGATTGATACAGGTGTTTTACCATTTTTTTTGCTCCGTAAAATTAATCACTGAATGTAAACAAGAGTTCTGTCGAGAAAAGCCTACTGCATCAAAAATCTGCCGTCTCTTTATCAACTTACTACTCAAGTTTAGTAATTGACTCTATCAAAATTGTAGTGTGCATATTTTTTTCTGCATTTTTATCTTAATTTACCTTGTTGAAAGTAAAAGTTTCTTATCGCAACATTTTTAAAAGAGCAATTCACTTTTGGTAAATTTCTTTTGTCATGCGTAAAAAGTATATGAATAGGAAAAGCTACAAAATTTTTATGGACAATGTAATGTGCTATAATTAATACTGTATTTAAGGTTTTAACTGAATTATTTGCTGAATTAATTTCAGAATTATATGACAAAACTGATTTAAATTAAGCAAAAGCTAATTAGTACCGCTGTTATTTTGATCCAGCACGTATTCTCTACAACATCTTATTTACTTTTATCTCTACACTATTGTCATTTCACGCTATCTAATTTGATAACAAAGCAATGGGAGAGATAACCTTCAGGTTAATATTGTCTAACATCACACAGCAGAACAAATGCTACTTAGAATGCATTTTCAAATTTATACACTCATAATACTTCAAATTAATTGTGTGATAAATTAGAGCCATAAAAAGTCGCTTATTAAATAGCTTATAAAAAGATATCGCTTATTTCTTAACAAAAAAGTTGAATATTGTTCTGTTTATATTCAGTGTGAATGACTGGTATAATTTCACTGAGGTAGAGAAGCGTTTATTGAGAAGATCTTGGAAAACAGTAG